GCTAATAGATGTTTTAAGAGAACCCCAAGGAGCCATCGGCTGGACTATAGCAGACATAAAAGGCATAAGTCCCTCCTTTTGTATGCACAAGATTCTTTTGGAAGATGATAAAAAGGGGTCTATAGAGGGACAAAGAAGGATGAACCCGATTATGAAGGAGGTGGTTAAGAAGGAGGTAATAAAGTGGTTAGCTGCAGGGATCATCTATCCAATCTCGGATAGTGCATGGGTGAGCCCGGTACAATGTGTTCCTAAGAAAGGGGGGATGACTGTTGTTGAGAACGAGAAGAATGAATTAATCCCCACAAGAACAGTAACAGGGTGGCGGATTTGCATGGATTACAGGAGACTCAATAAAGCAACTAGAAAAGATCATTTCCCGCTTCCCTTTATTGATCAAATGTTGGACAGGCTGGCAGGTAAGGAATTTTATTGCCTATTGGACGGGTATTCCAGTTATAATCAGATTGTGATTGCAAGAACGAGAAGAATGAATTAATCCCCACAAGAACAGTAACAGGGTGGCGGATTTGCATGGATTACAGGAGACTCAATAAAGCAACTAGAAAAGATCATTTCCCGCTTCCCTTTATTGATCAAATGTTGGACAGGCTGGCAGGTAAGGAATTTTATTGCCTATTGGACGGGTATTCCAGTTATAATCAGATTGTGATTGCACCGGAGGATCAACACAAGACTACTTTCACGTGTCCCTTTGGCACATTTGCCTTCAGGAGAATGTCGTTCGGACTTTGCAATGCCCCAGCCACTTTTCAGAGATGCATGCTGGCTATTTATAAATAATAAATATCCTTTTACATCTTATGCTTCTAGGACACTATTCCCAACAGATTTCTCAGTCTTTGGTAAGGATTTTGATGAGTGCCTCACGAACTTGAGGTCCTAAAGAGATGTGAAGAGACTAACTTGGTCTTGAACTGGGAGAAGTGCCACTTTATGGTCAATGAGGGAATTGTGCTAGGACATAGAGTCTCAAGGGATGGGTTAGAGGTTGATAAGGCGAAGATTGTTGTGATAGAGAAGTTGCCAGCACCGACTAATGTAAAAGGGCTTTGAAGCTTTCTTGGACATGCAGGGTTCTATAAGAGGTTCATTAAAGACTTCTCAAAGGTGTCAAATCCTCTTTGTAGTCTTCTGGAAAAGGATAGCAAGTTTATTTTTGATGAAGCATGCTCACTAGCATTTGCAGAATTGAAGACGAAACTCATTTCAGCACCTATCATTACAGCACCCGATTGGTCTATTCCTTTTGAAGTAATGTGTGATGCCAGTGACTGGGCATTGGGGGCAGTTCTTGGGCAGCGAAGAGAGAGGGTGTTTCACTCAATTTATTACGCCAGTAAAACTCTAACAGGAGCTCAACTAAATTACACTGTGACTGAAAAGGAGTTATTGGCGGTTGTCTTCACATTTGACAAGTTTAGAGCCAATTTGATAGTGACAAAGGTCACGGTTTTTACAGACCACTCAGCCATCAAGTATTTGATGGAAAAGAAGGATGCAAAGCCTCGGTTAATCAAATGGGTACTCTTACTTCAAGAATTCGACTTGGAGATCAAGGACCGTAAAGGGGCTGAGAATCAAGTGGCTAATCACTTGTCCCGGCTTGAGAGGGCGGAGGAAGAAGTCACCCCTGAAAGTATAACCGAAATGTTCCCTGATGAGCAGTTGTTTGTAGCAACTCAGGCACATACACCTTGGTTTGCTGATTTTGCAAATTATTTAGCTAGTGGATGGCTTCCACCTGATTTGACTAGCCAGCAGAGGAAGAAATTTCTCCATGATGTCAAGAGCTACTACTGGGATGAGCCTTATTTGTACAAGCAATGTCCTGACCAACTTATAAGGAGGTGTGTACTAGAAGAAGAAATGGAGGGCATTCTGCAAGGGTGCCATTCTTCCCCTTACAGTGGCCACTATGGAGGCCTGAGGACAGCTTCGAAGATTCTGCAATCTGGTTTTTATTGGCCATTGATCTTTAAGGATGCTCATGCGTTTGCATTGAGATGTGACAGGTGCCAAAGAACTGGGAACATAGCAAGGAGGAACGAGATGCCCCTAAACAACAACTTAGAAGTGGAATTGTTTGATGTTTGGGGTATGGATTTTATGGGCCCCTTTCCGGTGTCATTTGGTAACCAATACATTCTTGTGGCTGTTGACTATGTGTCAAAATGGGTAGAGGCAGTGGCTTCACCCACGAATGATGCCAAAGTGGTGCTGAGATTCCTACATAAGCACATTTTCACTCGCTTTGGAACCCCCCGAGCCATTATTAGTGATGAAGGAACCCACTTCTGCAACAAATTCTTAGGGCAGCTGCTTGCTAAATATGGTGTCAAGCACAAGGTCGCCACAGCCTATCACCCGCAAACCAGTGGGCAGGCCGAACTGTCAAATAGGGAAATCAAGCGAATACTCAAGAAAACAGTGAACCCGACTCGTAAGGGTTGGTCGGTGCGCTTGGATGATGCACTATGGGCCTTCCGAACAACTTTGAAAACACCCTTAGGAATGTCCTCATATAGGCTGGTATTTGGAAAGGCGTGTCACTTGCCTGTGGAGCTAGAACATAGAGCATTCTGGGCTCTCAAGAAGCTGAATCTTGACTTGCAGGCAGCCGGGCAGAGCAGACTGTTACAACTGAATGAGCTTGATGAGTTCAGGCTGCAGGCTTATGAAAGTGCACGGCTATACAAAGAAAAGACTAAGAAATGGCATGACCGTAAAATCTTGCCTCGAACATTCGAAGCTGGGCAGCAAGTGCTCTTGTTCAACTCCAGGTTGAAGCTTTTCCCAGGCAAACTGAAGTCTCGTTGGTCTAGCCCTTTTGCAGTCACTAAAGTATTTCCTTATGGAGCGGTGGAATTGATTGAGGAGGAGTCTGCGAGGAAATTCACGGTAAATGGACAGCGGTTAAAGCACTACTGGGGAGGTCCAGTAGATCGTTGCAAAGCGTCCACCACTCTGCAGGAGGCTTGATTCTCAACCAGGGAGGTAGTTAGGCTGATGACTCAAAAATAAGCGCTCGTGGGAGGCAACCCATTGTTTGTTCCTTTGATTTTGTTTTATTTTGCTATTCTGCATTTATATTTTAATTGGGAGTATAATTCATTGGTTGGGAGGATCAAATGGAGCCAATCCATTGCAGATAGCAGATAAAAAAAATTTTACATTAGCCCAGAATGCCATGACAAAAGGCTGCAGCATTCTGGGCAGCATTTAAAAACAAAAAAAATCGACAATGAGTTTAGCATGTTTCTAAAGCCCTAATTCACCAATATTTAGACACTCTCACTTCTTCTTCGAAGACCACACTCACACTCTCACTCTTGCCATTTTTCTTTTTTTCCTCCCTTCTCGCCAAGATTTCAAGCTTGCATCCTCTCACCCGCGACATTCTCTCAAATAGCTAATCTCACCCATCTCCGCTACATGATACAGCACGAGTTTGGGGGAGCAGCTAGCCGCCAGCACAGAGGAGATTGCCATTGAGGTTAGTAAGAACTCTGCCCTAACTCCGTACTCTTTAAGGAGGGTAGAACAGAGAAGGGGAGTGTTATTGTAGCAAAGAATTGTTGAGAACAGAGGAAAGGTGATTTTAGGCCTGTGGAGGTTCAGGAAGGAAAGTGAGTGAGAAATTTTGTTTTAGAGGGTAGTTAGAGCAGAGAAGGGAGTACAGGCATCAAAATGCCATTCAAGAGCAAGGCACACAAGGGAAAGGGAGTGCAGATTCTAATAGATTCAGACAGTTCTGAATCGGAGCAGGCTACAGAGAATGCTGAAGTAAAAAAATTTGTGTCCCCAAAGGCAGAGCAGCGTTTTGACGCGTGCATGAATAAGCGTGCATTGCATATGGAAAGAGGTTTTGTGTACAGAAGGGGTCGGCCCTCAGGCTACCCCAGCTTTATCCATTCAGTTATCGCCGCGCATAAATGGCATTCATTCTGCCATAACCCGCCTGCGGCGACGGTGCAGCTGGTGCGCGAATTTTATACCAACTACGATGCTGCAGAGCCTGACATAATCTTCGTCCGAGAAAAATCGATCCCCTTCACATATGAGGCAATTAACAGCCTCTACGACTTGCCGGATGTGGAAGATCATTTCAACAACTTCGCAGACAGTTTAAATGAGGACCAGTTGGACGAAGTTATCAATGAACTTTGTGTTGAGGGTACTGAATGGCGGAGAGCAACCAGAGGGTCGATGACATTTCCCAGGGAGTGCCTCCAGCTGGGACCGAAGATTTGGTACCATTTTCTATGGTTCCGGCTGATGCCTTCCTCACACTACCGC